GGCACTTGAGAACGGGGCGGGAGCGGCGGGGAAGGAGCGAGCGCCGGGCAGGGCCGGGCAGTGCCTCTGGCGGCCCCGGGCCCAGCGAACGGGCCGCTGCCATCGGGACGCGCAGGCAAAGGCATTTTGGGGGTTAAACACAGCAGTTCTGTCTCTAGCACTGCATAAACGGTGCAGACAGCGTGTGCTTTACAGATAACAGTGAGAAGGGCTCTGAAAATAATTCACTTCGGCGATCTTGAGCAGGTGTAGCCCTCCTCCCTTCGGGTTATACAGAACATGTAGAGAAGGAAAAAAATCAAAACCAAACCTACAAAAATCCCAGACCAAAACCCTAATTTTTTACCCTTTTCAGGATTCAAGACTAGAAAGGTTTAAAATAGCAGGTCTGCAGTTTTTACCTGTGTCTACAAAGCTGTATTCCTTTGGACACACTGTTAAGGCAGAATTTCTTCTACTATGCCAACAGAGAAATGTAAAAAGTGACAATGCTCTGTTAAAGCAGGTAACAGATCTGCTTTTATTTTCCTTTTATCAGAAACAAATGCAGGGGGGAGTGCTGAAAATTCTACCTTTTCCTCTGCATGTCACCCATCCCATTTCTGAAGTCTAATGTTGTCAGCAAATGACCCGGTGACAAGCACTAGTTCTGTTGACGTGTAACGGCACCCACCCTGACTAGTCAGGCCAATCTCCCCAGGATGCTACTGTTAACCAGATCTGGAGATTTTAACACAAGCCTTCCGTGAAGCTGGCCTTACCAGGAAAACACCTTTAGCGAAGATCAGGTTCCTCTGTGTGGTGTGGACGGGCTTGGAATAGTAACAGCCTTGTTAGTACTGAAACAGCCTGAAGTAGAAGCAGTTTCTAGCTTGTGAGAAACCAAAAATTCAAAGACAGTAGGTCTCAGAACATGCTGGGATCACGCATAAAATTGCCCGATTTCTTCCATAATTTGCATGTGACTAGATGCTACCAACACCTGCAACCTCAAATGGTCCTCAGTGAGTATACACATCAACAGTAAAGAAGGAAAAAAAAATAAATCGAAGGTAGAACCTTTAGAACTTTGAGAAGTCAAACAAGTGAACAGTGTTCTGCAACTTTTTTTTTTCCAACATATTTTTCCAGACTTCAGTTTTCTAAATACTCATCTCCTTCTTCAGCCTCTGCATCTACCGAGTCTATGCCAACTTCTTCATAATCTTTCTCAAGGGCAGCCAGATCTTCCCGGGCTTCAGAGAACTCTCCCTCCTCCATTCCCTCCCCAACATACCAGTGCACGAAGGCGCGCTTGGCGTACATGAGGTCAAACTTGTGGTCAAGGCGAGCCCAGGCTTCAGCAATGGCGGTGGTATTGCTCAGCATGCAGACCGCCCGCTGCACCTTGGCAAGGTCACCGCCTGGCACCACCGTCGGAGGCTGGTAGTTAATGCCCACCTGCAGGAAAACAAACGCAAACTTTCCTTGTGAGCACTAAACCTTAGAGACTTATTTCTGTTGACAGTCAAAACCCACAATGGTTACAAACACATGAAATAGCTTATGGTCATTTTGCACTTGAGCAAAGTATTTAACAGGGACGTTACGTCGCTGTGGAAAAACTCTGAACACCACAGCGTACCCAGCAATCCAAACACCATGCACTTAAAGCTGTGCAAGTACCTTGAATCCAGTTGGGCACCAGTCCACAAACTGGATGGTGCGCTTGGTCTTGATGGTGGCGATAGCGGCGTTGACATCCTTGGGCACGACGTCGCCCCTGTAGAGCATGCAGCATGCCATGTACTTGCCGTGCCGCGGGTCACACTTCACCATCTGGTTGGCCGGCTCGAAGCAGGCGTTGGTAATCTCGGCCACCGAGAGCTGCTCGTGGTACGCCTTTTCCGCGGAGACCACGGGGGCGTACGTCACCAGGGGGAAATGGATTCGCGGGTACGGAACCAGGTTGGTTTGAAACTCTGTCAGATCTACGTTAAGGGCTCCATCAAAACGCAGTGAGGCTGTGATGGATGAAACGATTTGCCCAATCAACCGGTTTAAGTTGGTGTAAGTAGGACGTTCGATGTCAAGGTTACGACGACATATATCATAAATGGCTTCATTATCCACCATGAAGGCACAGTCTGAATGCTCTAGTGTAGTGTGGGTGGTTAGAATCGAGTTGTAGGGTTCCACTACAGCAGTGGAAACTGCTGGTGCTGGATAAATTGCAAATTCTAGTTTAGATTTTTTTCCGTAGTCAACAGAGAGCCTTTCCATGAGCAGAGATGCAAACCCTGAGCCAGTCCCTCCTCCAAAACTATGGAAGATAAGGAAACCTTGCAGCCCTGTGCACAAATCAGCCTATAATGGGATGGGAGAAGAAAAAAGTTACTGAAGATTTTGAGAAAGCAGTACTAAAATAATTATTCAAAAGCATTTATTTCTGAAGTTTGCTAGTTTTAGATTGCTGTTTATTATAACATTCTTGAAAGGCGGTCTTCCTTTTTTTCTTGTGTGTCTTTTACTCAAAAGTACAAGTGCCTCTGTGTAACTTTTTCTGAATAGGAGTATTTTAATATTTAAAAGTTGCTTTATTGTCTTTGATGCCATTTAGTACTGTAAACAAGAGCAGCTGTGCACCACTGTGACAAATTGCCAAATTACAGCTGGGTTACAGCTTTAGAATCTGCTTATGTTCCCATTATAGCTTTCAGCAAGTATCAACTAGATGTTCAAAACAAGTTGTGGGGGTGTTTTTTTGTAATTTTAAATTGCCAATGACTACTTTACTTTGAATCATTAGTTTCTCAAAATGCAGTGTCAAAACAAAAAAAAACCCAGAGAAGTAATTAAAATTGCTGAGCATTCAACCAAAACCTGAGGTTCAGGGTACTAGAAATATTTTGTGTGACATAATGCCACAATCAAACTGAAAATAACAAACAAAAAAGTATAACAATTCCTTACACTTGGTTAAGACATTTATGTTTTTGACATATCCTTATAGTACTTCAAAATAGTGGTGTTTCAGAGCCTAAAAAATTTTAAGTTTTACTGACTGGGTTTTTATTAAAGCGGGGGAGGGGGGAGCAGATCAAGGAGGCAAAAGGTTTTGTTTTAAACATTCAACTATGCACAACATTCTTACAGAAAAAAACACAGTAAATCGTCATTATAGATAGCTATAGAGCTGTATCCATTATCTTAAATGCTGATTTGCAGCACAAATTCTTACCAGTTTGCGAATGCGATCTAGCACTAGACCAACAATCTCTTTTCCAATGGTATAATGGCCTCTGGCATAATTATTGGCTGCATCTTCTTTCCCAGTAATGAGCTGCTCAGGGTGGAATAACTGCCTGTATGTGCCTGTACGTACTTCATCTACAAAAAAACCCAAAATACCACAACATTAATTGGATCTGTTCAGTTCTGTATGCGCTGCCTAGTGGCTACACACTATGTGCACGTGTCAAGAGTACAGACAGCAGCCCTGACTATACACAGCTTGGCTGACAAGCCTAAAAAGCTGCCAAACTTCTGCCCCTTTGTGTAGAGGAAAACATCAGGCACTCACAAAGCAGTATTTGTAACCGAGAACACAGAGGTCAGGCAGAAAAATACACTACAGGTACAGACAAGATTCCAGATAGCAATTAAACAAAACTCTGGATGCAGTGCTACAGTCTAGAAACATTATTCAGGTTGTAAAAAAGTTCTAATATTTTCCAAATGTTGTTACCTGTAGACCATTATTTTGATTTTCAAATAATAACCCCATATGTCAAAAGTGTAACCAGACACACATCTTTTAAAATCTATAGTGTTTTGAACAAATAAAAAAGACTGTAGAGAATGCGTGGGGGATCTTTACTTTTGCACTGAATATCTTTAATGCTGGGTACATACCAACCACGGTTGGCTCTAGGTCCACAAACACTGCCCTGGGAACATGTTTACCAGCTCCTGTCTCACTGAAGAAAGTGTTAAATGAATCATCTCCGCCTCCAATAGTTTTATCGCTAGGCATTTGGCCATCAGGCTGGATCCCATGTTCAAGACAATACAACTCCCAACATGCATTGCCAATCTGAACACCGGCCTGACCAACGTGGACGGAAATGCATTCACGCTGCAAATCAAAAACAGACAATGCTAATGAGATACGGAGCTACCTGTCTTCTACGCGTTATTCTCACAATAACTAAGCTGTGGTTGTATCTTTTTATGACCTCTCTCTGCTGCAGCATTCCCATGTTGCTCAAGTAACAATTTAACTGACCAAACTGCTGCTGGCAAGACTCTACTCACCTTAGTTGACCTGGGCTGACTTTGAGAATATTGGAAGATCTTAAAGACAACATAGGCTCTGTGAACACACAGGGTAGATAGAGATCCACTGTCCCTTACCAGGCTGCACATGTATCTTTGATATTCTGTCTGGTTTCTTTTTCACCTTCCTTTGGTTTTGGAATACTTCTTTATATAATATTCCCAGATTTCCTTGATTTGTTGCTAAATTGCATACTGGATGTTTCACGAATCTTCTTTGTACAGGACCACTTACTATTTTTCTTTATAATAAGCACAGAGATATTGCCCCTGGCAACTTTTACACACTTGAGTTCCTCTGGAAAACCATTTGAGAGTCCCAATCAAATGCCACCTGGCTGCTTTTAGCCAGCTCCTTCGCCTCTAAGCGACTGTGCTATGTATATTTGTTCTCTGAACACCTCTATTTTGTCTTACACCCGAGGTGGTGAGGAGCCATTTTTCTAGCTTACCATGACAGTGTAGCTAGGCAAAAGCAGAGGTGGAGAAGAAGCAGGATGTGTCTTCCCTGTTTTCTTGACAGCTTCGTCAAACCCCTGTCCTCACCTCCACGTTTTAGCTCTCAGCCCCGTGGCCCGTCCCTGATCCGCGCACGCGCGCTGCGGCCGCACGGCTGCCCCGGGACCGGCCGCGCGCGAGGC